ATCTTCAGGATGCACTAGTGCTCTGCAGGTTAACCCCGCGCGCTCCTGCTGTTCAGCGCTGACGAGGGAACGTACTTCAGATATCCGTCGATCTGGCTGAGCAGCCGGTCCATCTCCACATCCTTCTTCTCATACAGCTCCTTCCCCACCCACGGCAGACTGGACAACACCGCATACACATACCAGTCTGAGCGCACCTGCGGACACACACACACACACACACACACACACACACACACACACACACACTAATTTAGTTCCATACGAGGCCAAAGCTCTCTTTCTCTCTTACATGCAGACACACTCACACACAGTGTCTGCTGGTCCTCAGTGTGTGTGTGTGTGTGTGTGTGTGTGTGTGTGTGTGTGTGTGTTTACCTGAGGAATGTCCTCCTCCTGCGTCACACTGATGAAGTTCTCAAACATGGCCACCATCGAGGGCGCAGCGATCACATGACAGTTGACCAGATCACTGAGGAAGCGCACCTGCAGAGCACAGGACAGGTGAGCAAACACACACACACACACACACACACACACACACACACACACACTTCATATGTGCATTAGACAGGTCAGTCACTTCAGTAATGTTTATAGGCTTTACTGAACTCAATATTGGTGATATTGAGATGCGGTGTCTGAAATACTGATGGATGAGCAGAATTTATGGTGTTTTGTCAAGTTTAAGATGTTTAATTTAGGAATTTGTCCGTTTATTTGTTGTTTTGTATTTTCAAGAAGCGTGGGAAACCTGCATGCACACACACACACACACACACACACACACACACGCACGCACGCACGCACGCACGCACGCACACACGCACACACGCACACACGCACGCACACGCACCAGGTAGAGCGCCTCTGAGTACAGGTTGGCCTTCAGCGTCTCCTTCAGCTGCCGGATCATCGCCTCCACAAACTCTCCACCAAAGTTGTAGTTGCGGGCGTTCAGGAGCCCCACCAGCGTGCTGTACACCGTCAGCTTCTCCGGCAGCAGACGCGCACTGAACACACACATTTAACACATCATATTTTAGACAACACACTTTACACAATCCTTTAAACAACACACACACACACACACACACACACACACACACACACAGTTCAGCAGGTGTTATGGTGGCTGATGGGTTCAGAGCAGTGCTGGTATTATACTGCACATTATAAGCAACACAGGGTCTGTAATATTGATTAGGGTTGGGAATCGATTTCGGTGCTGAATTGATGCTGTTAAATCAGTACCGGTGCCAAAACAGTGCCTGAACCCAAAGCGAGCCTGTGGACAGAGCAGAAGAGAACTGCAGGATTATTATACTGATGTGTGTCTACAGGGGAATGAAGGATATTCAGGGTGTTGTTCACTGCTGAGCTCCTCTATTAAAAACTCTGCAAGTCCTGAAAGAGACCAAGCCTCAGCCAGAGGAGGGAAAGTGACTCGAGAGTATCGCCCTATTCACACGGGGCGTCAGCTTCAGCGCTTCCCGTTCACTTTAAATTGGTGACGTCAGGCGTTGCCGAACTGCATTATGGATCCGTCGGCGCTGCTTCAGAGGTGTTGCTCGCTGCATAAGTTGGGACTAGCTCAAATATTTAAGCGCCAATGGAAGCGTCAGCCAATCAGATCGCTGTATGCAAATACACCAGCTGGACAGTGGCCTATTGCTGACTGAATTTAATTGGCTGACGCTGCTATGACGATCGCTTCAGCCCCAACTTCAGACCCGCCCTCCGTCAAGCGCTGACGCTGAAGCCCCGTGTGAATGCGGTGTAGTGCAAAAGTAATGTCCAGCATCACTTCCTATAATAAGCGACCAGGAAACACAACAGGTCAGTGATCTGAAGAGCAGGTCAACACTACACATCACTCTCAGCAGCGTCTCTCCCCAGCACTGCTCAGGAGTGTAAACCGGACTTCAGTGATGAGAGCAGAAACACAGCAGACGGACTCACACAGCACACAGGATGCGCAGGATTTTGCTCTTATAGTTGGGCAGATCGGCCTCCAGCACGCCGGCCAGACCCTCCAGGTTGCTCTCCAGCGACGACGTGCTCTGGAACACACACACACACACACACACACACACACACACACACACACACAAACACACACACACATTAAACACACAGATGAGCGAGTGCGTTTCTGCAGTCTGATCCACTCCAGACTGAACACACACGCACACACACACACACACACACACACACACACACACACACACACACACACACACACACACACACACACACACACACACACACACACACACACACACACACACTCATGTGTTTTACTTCAAACGTCACTCCATGTTAATCTAAAAATAGTCAAATCGTCCTCAGATTATAGTAAGAGAGCTGTAATTCTGCATTAAACACAAACAGCATTATGAGAGTGAAGTGAAACACTGAAGCGCAGCAGCACAGTCTGGGTCTGGTCAATCAGTCGTGTGCTGCTGGATATTGTTCTGATCACTGATGCAGTGTTTTGATATGAAGCATCTCACAGCACAGCACTGATCTCCAGAGCTGCTGGACACACTGATCAGTGCTCTATCACAGTCAGTGTTCACGGTTCTGCTCCAGCTCTGCAGAACATCTGCTTCAGTGTCCACCAGCAGGAGGAAGCTTTATAACCGCCTGAATGTGTCGAGCTGCAGCTGAAATGCTCATTCCTGGGTGAACTGCCCCTTTAATGAGCGTTTCTAAATATGCAAATGCGCTTAATGAGGATGCTCAGACTATATAATGAACCCGTACAGCATCCAGGAACACCGTGTAACCGCCTGGCGCTCACACACAGGCGAATATTGTTATGGTTATGCATATGAATATGAAGTGATGCTAATGCTAGCGCTCACCGTCGCCTTCATCGCTGTGTCTCCGGCGGGACATTTCTGCAGTTCAGCGAACACTGAGGAGGGAAACACTGAGGGAAATGCGCTGATATATATAAAGCAAAGTCGCCTTCCGTGGAGCTCGGAGCTCTGAATGGAGCAACCGTTAAACACACGGTACAAATAAAGCGGTTTGATTTAAGGAGAACACATCCGGCGTCGACGGAAACACGTGTGATTCGCGGGCAGTGAATCCCAATTCATCACTGTGAATCGGTTCGTTCGAGTGCGTTCAGCGACTCCTGTATGTCATGGCTGAAGCCTTTTACAGTCATTGGCTGAAGCTCTTATTTATTTTATAAGTGATGATAGCTCACCTCAATAACTACATTTCCTCTCATTTCCTCACACTCAAGTGTCTCTAAAGTATTATTAGAGTCTTTCTAACACAAAAGAAGTGGTTTTGAAGAAATCCGTAACTAAAACTAACACTACGTTAACAGTTACAGGTTTCCAACATTCTTCTAAACATCTTCTTTTGTGCTTAACAGAAGGAAGAAACCCATTACGGTTTAAAACAAGATGTTTTTTAGTGTAATATCTCTTTAAATGTAGTTTAAAGTCATTTTACTCGCCCTTAGTGCTTACACACTTTTTCGCAATTCATTAATATACATATGATTATAATATTTCTAAGATATACCGAGGACTGCTGGAAAATGACATTTTAGTTCAGTGTTTTTATTTCCTATTGCGTGAACTGAACGAGTCTTCCAGAAGTGATTCAGATCCGACTCCTCAGAGTGACTCGTTCGCCGGTAGACTCGTGTTGTGTTTAGTTCGATCTGCTGCTGCTCTGCCCTGTTTATGATTAATAATCGTTATTATTTAATTAATCGATCAAATGTTAACTTTATAAGTCGCACAGAAGAGCTCGAGATGCTTCATTTGAGAGTCTTTTAAGGTGAGGTGTGCGTGTGGATCCTCAGCAGCGCGCATGCTCGAGTTCTGGACTGTGTATGTTGATATTCCCGCGGTGATGATGGCAGATGAGCTCTTACATCTGTGTGATGTGGACAGTCTGAGTGCAGACATGCAGAAGAGAGAACAGCAGGAGTTTACAGCGAGCAGGAGGATTTACAGCCGAGCGAGGAGGAGGGTGAGGGTCTTCATCATCACATCATCATCATCATTAATACAGATCATTAAACACATTAAAACACACACACACACAGACAGTGAGGATCACTACAGCAGCAGCATGTGTTCATCATGTCGGAAAACCTTTAATATCCCTGCTGCTTTAGTTCACACTGTTTCTGAGCAGGCATCATCTGACAGATGTATTTATTGCTGATAAAAGTGATGTACTTCTGTAAATCAGGCTTCTCCTCAGCAATGAAGTGCTTGTTATAGATGATTCTTAATTAATTACAGAGGAGTGCTTTCTGTTAGCAGTGTTTAGGGTTTATACATTACAAGTAACGCGAGATGTGTAATCAGATTACTTTCTCAAGTAACTAATAAAGGAACTCGTTACTTTTTCCTTTCCTTCCTGTATTTAATCATTCACTCGCACAGAGACAGATTCAGTGTGTCTTACAATCCATGACACTGTGTTTCTGAGCGTCTTATACTTGATTAAACTGTGCAGATGTGGATTTACAGTCTGAGCTTCATCATAAAGAGATTTACACTTGTCTAAAATATAAGTTATATTATTTAAACGCAGATAAACAATCCCAGCCTAGGTGAAAACAGTAACACAAACGTAATATAGACTATTTAGAAGGCTGTGAATGTAACACACAGATGCTAGAGGTCACGCTCTTTAGCCTCCTCATTAGAGCTACCGACTCCCATGCGGAAGGTCGCCGGTTCGATACCAGCTTGGAGCGGGTTGGATGGTGTAAGACTGGCGGGGTTACATAATCAAACACAGTGGTTCTCAAGTATTTCCTGTTTTACATTTGTAATTTCTACAGCTTCCGAGAATCCAATAAGCTCCACATGTTGATCAATAATGTTATGAGAGCTGTTTTACATCAAGCTATTTATGAAATGTGTCGTGTTTCACTTATGAATTAGTTTGATAACAAGCTGGAAATGTTCATGTGCCGATGACATGAGCACTATGATGTGGTCTATAGTGTAATAAAATTATTACTGTCACAATTAACAACACAAGATGAAGGTTTGTATGTATATGATATTTACATGTGCACTGCACTGTGTGTGTGTTTATATCTGTATTCATAAATCCACACACACACGCTGTACATAAACTGCTAAAATATTAACTTTAAATATACTTACATGTGTGTTTATTTGAATTTATGATTTGTATTATATATATAAATATTTATATATGTAAATATAAGCAAATATCTGAGACAATATATTCATGAATATATTTATCCACTGTAAAACTCCACAGTCAGCTTGATCTAAATGAGTGTAGTTAACTCAGAATATACTGAAAGTTAATTCTACTCATTAGAAAAGAGTTTTGAACTCAGTGTTGAAGGTGATGAGTTCATTAAATACCTCAATACTTAAACTTAGAGTAGTTTGCGCCATTAGTCTTGTGGTTAGTGTGTCGACACATGGAGGTGTTCCTGGTGACCCGAGTTTGATTCCCGGCTCAAGATCCTTTGCCGACCCTTCCCCTATCTCCACTCCCCATACTTTCCTGTCTCTAAATCTCCACTGTCCCATCACAATAAAGCTGAAAACCCCTTAAATATAACTAACAAGCGTAAAGTTGACAGCACTCATATAGATTAGTTGAACTCAAATCGGTCTCCTCAAGCGGGCTGAGTCTGCTTATGTTTCTGGCTTTTACAGTGTGGATATAGCCAGCACACATGATCCTCTGCTGTCAGTATGACGTTGTGGATGTGGTTCAGTGTTTGACAGCACTCATGATCTTTATTCTGTATTCTTTAATGAACACATGTCGTCCTTATTGAAAGTAGTAGTGAGGGTGTGTAAGGCTTTAGTGTTTGGCTCTGTGTGTTAGCGATGTGAACGCTTTAGTTTCACTCACTCATTACAGCTGAGGTTTGGGCTGAAGCGGCTCCGTCACGCACAGATCTAGATGTGTTATGAGGGTTACTATTGTACTGTTTTCCATTGTGTGTTCAGGTGTTCGCTCAGTTCGTGGCATCGAAGCAGGCTCCTGCGTCCAGCGGCTCGGGGTGTGTGTGGCTCTGCTGCGGACACACACACACTGATCCCGCTTCCATACACAGACACGCGTCCAGCAGCCACAGCGCAGAGATCCACCAGCTGACCAGCGACTCACTGAAGCTTCAGAAGACTCACGGCGACTCACTGAATCATCAGACTCTCAGCGACTCAGTGAATCATCAGACTCTCAGCGACTCAGTGAATCATCAAAACACTGACGGTGACTCGGCGAGTGTGTGTGCTGCAGCAGGAGTGTGTGTTGCTGGATCAGCAGACGTGTCCTCCTGGATGCCAGACATGAGCCACGTCTCAGAACATGAGCTGAGCAGGTGAGACCGTGTGATGTGTGTGTGTTGTGTGTGTATTCTGTGTGTGTGATGTGTGTGTGTGTGTGTGTGTGTGCAGCGGTGAGGGTGTGGTGCTGCTCTTCTACTGCTACTGTCTCCTCCCGGACCCGCAGCTCATCTCCCGCTGGCAGCAGCAGCTCTGCACAACACTGCGCCTCACAGGCAAGGTAACGCTGACCTCTGACCCCCGACTGACCTGTCTTCACGGAGACTGACCCCTGACCTGTGTGTGTGTGTGTGTGTAGAGAAGTGCCGGTGGTGCGCAGTGTTTCTCCGGCCTGA